TTTTAGGAGCAAGAAGTCACACAAATGCACCCCCAAACACAAACACACACACACTCACGTGCATCTACACACACAGATTCTCTCACACACACACACACACACACACACACACACACACACACACACACAGTGCCTTATCTTTTGTAACCATAGGGTTTTTTTTACAATGAGTGTAAACTGTGTGTCACAGAATAAAAGGGCTGCAGGGGAAGCTGGTTCTTCGAAGTGGTCTGACACCGAGGGCAGAAGGGCTGCTCTGAGATCCTTCCCTTGCTAGCATGTGAAAAACGGTTGAGCTGTTCGTCTTGCTTTGTTAACGGGAATACGTTTCTGAACCAGCGGGGCTGCTGAAGTGCAGACCCAACACGTGGGTTGCATTAATAAGAGTCTGAAAGGGAGAATGAAAGAGCACTGAGATTTAAACCACAGAATGGAGGTTAATTAGTTAAAAAAGAGGAAAGGGGGGGTTGGCCAAGAAGATGATTGTGATGATTAGTGCAATGTCAGTTTTGAGTTTTATGTTTGTATTGAGCTGTTTACAAAGATATCATGCATGTATTCATTGTACTCATCATATGAAGTTTTTCTTCCTCATTAAAATGTTTCAGATAGAGCTGTTTCACACAAGGTTATGATAAAAAATAAATTATTCCTCCTTCAATTCTACGGTTTTACATATCACACACTGCTTCTGCAATTTACTTTAATGACCTTGCATATTATGTAATGTTTACTTTCAATTGAGGCTGCATTTAAATTATTTTAGAACCCGCTTTTTAATTTTTTAAATATGTCCTCATACATTAAACGTTAGAACGGAAAGATGATTTACTTTCCTTTTTACATAACTGTAGGAATGGAACATAGTGGCAGTAAGTTACGTTTAACTGCTGATAAAGATAACATGATTTTTATATAGTCCTCATACATAAACTTCTAGGAATAAATTTTTTAAATCTCTTCCCGTTTTGGTTCCTGTTCTATTCTTAAAACAGACCGTTGTTAGTTTTTAACAATAATTCTACTTTTAAACAATGACTGTAAAATGTAATGCATAAGGACCCCAAGGATATCAATGAAATGAGTTGCCAAACTAGTTCTATTAAAGAGTGGAAAAAGGACTCATCTAAAGTCTAAGGAGCTTGGAAAGAAAAGCATCTGGACTTCTTTAAGTTGCTTGAAGACGTTTCACCTCTCATTCGAGAAGCTTCTTCAGTTCTAGGGTGTTAAGGCATCTGGGAAGGGACCTCAAAATTTGATTATAGATGGCACACAGTTGGTGAAAACCAGCTCCTAAACCACCTCCTCTTTTCAAAGATGGCCGTTCATAGTGGACATAGATGGCTTCTTTTCGCTACTCTGTCAAACCTCTGTCCAAAATGAGAAGACTGGCATCCTCAAAAGAGTGACCTTTGTCCTTTAGATGCAGATGAACCGCAGAGTCTTGTCCCGTGAAGGCGGCTCTTCTATGTTGTACCATGCGTTTATGAAGTGGCTGTTTGGTGTCTCAAATGTAGAGGTCTGAGCATTCCTCACTACACTGTACAGCATACACTACATGGTTAAGTTTGTGTTTAGGAATTTTGTCTTTCGGACAAACCAGTTTTTGTCTGAGTGTGTGGCTGGGTTTGAAGTACACTGAGATGTTGTGCTTGGAGAAGACTCTCCTGAGTTTCCTGATTTTTTCTCTTTGTATGAATCCTAATTTAGTAAGTTGTGTACTGTGATGAGCAAGGTCCTTTATCCTGGTCTCCAGGAGGATGTGTAATGTTCACTGTTCTCTCTTGAGGACAAGGCAGTGAACTTCCATTAACTAGAGGAGTGAGATCTATTGAAAGAAAGAATTTAAAAAATATATACAGAGACTTGCATGCACTTCATGCATTTCTGTTGTAAAAGTTTCAAGTATTTAAGTTTAGCAATGAAAATATTTAAATTTGCCTTGTACACTGAAGATAAAAATGGTGCTCCCTCCCTTGAGGTAATCTCTGGATTGGATGTCTTCCAAAGATGCAAAATAATATCTACCATACAGGTTATTAGCATAGATGAGCTCATTGTTCAGCAAATTCCTGAGTCACGGCCATCAGTAGACTGCAGTGAAAGCCTGATTGATAGGAACCCTAACTCAAAGTTCCTTACAGCAGTGGAGGAAAAAGAAATAATGGATATTGTAAACATGTGTAAATACAAAACATCCACTGATTGTAACGACATTAACATGAAAATTGTCAAAAAGGTCATAGAAGGAATTCATAGAACCACTAAAATACATCTGCAGCTTATCATTTCAGACTGGAAAAGTTCCAAACAAAATGAAAATAGCTAAAGTTGTTAATTATTAAATTAATTATGTTAAACAACAGAACAGGAACCAAAATAGGAGTTATCTATTCCTTGAAGTTTTATCTATGAGGACATAATAAAAAATCATGTTATCCTTCCCACCAGTTGCACGTAACTTACTGCTAGTTGCAGTGACACTGGTGGTCCTGTGCTGGCCTATGTGTGGATTGCCTCTGGCAATCCTGATCTGGGCCACCAAAGGGCCATCATCCTTTGCGGTATGTGAGCCATGTGTAAGTTGTGTTCAGCCACGGGCCAGTTGTAGACACACTGCTGACCCTGTGCTGGCCCAGATGTCAGCCTGATGTGTACCTTAATCAAGCCATGTAATAACAAAATGTGCTGGAACATAATAGTGCAAAAGTAACTGTGACAGTGACATGAACTATGTCATATTTTGAACTATGACATAATTTCATAGTTCAAGCTTCTTTAGGAAGTGACTGTGATCAGCAAAGATATCCTAAATGTGGCAGATGTAGGTTGAACAAGAAACGTGATTATTAATGTTTTATAAAGAAACTGCTTTTCAAATGTAGCAGACCATATGGGAATACTGTAATCTATATCATGGTTTAATTGTGTGTCTTTGTGGGTTTGATAGACTTAATCCCTTATACTTTCCAAGTGACATCAGCCTAGCACTCACTCATTTTTAACGAGGTAGAGAAACTTCCTGTTAAAACTTATCTACAATTTCTACACTGAGCTCAGTGGTTATATGCATGGTATCTTCTTAAAAAAACATTGTTGCGTTTGAGGAAGTTCCTTATGTCTTCCCATATGTACAACATACTGTACATTCTTGCATGTAACAGTATGTTCCACCCCTATAGTTATGCGAAAATGAAAGTAAACCACCTTTCCATTCTAAGGTTTAATCTATTTAAAAAGCAAGGAAAATGCAGAAGCAGTGTATGATATGTAAAACTTTGGAATTGAAAGAGGAATAATTTTATTTTTATTATGAAACAGTCAGCTTTATCTGAACAAACTACTTCTCTCAGCAGCCAGTTGAGTTGTGGCTTTTTTCTATACGTACCTTCCAAATGCTTCAATGATCAGGGTTTGGAGTTTGAGGCAAACTTCCATTCAACTTCTAATATTTACTGTCGCAAGCTCCTTTGAGCGCTCAGTAAGGAAGACCTACCATGCATTGATGATACCATTCTTGAGCTTAGGGTTCTGAGCTGTGAAAAAGGTTTAGGCATTCAGGGTAGCAATGTTAAGTTGTACCACAGCTGCTTCTATGTTTTACACTTGTAGGTGCCAACCATCTAGTCCAGGGGTGTGAACCCCAGGCCTCGAGGGCCGGTGTCCCGCAGGTTTTAGATATCACCCTGTTTCAACACACCTGAATCAAATTATTAGTTCATTACCAGGCTTCCGGAGAACTTCAAGACATGTTGAGGTGATAATAGTAAAATGAGAATGTGATCAGTTATGTTTTCCCCATTTCTGGTATTTTCATCCACCTTTTGTTATTAGACATATGGGAATGCTTCACTGCAACATGTATTTTGGTGTGGCTGTGTGCCTTCGTGTGTTTGATAGACATAATGTCTGATAATGTTTTATAAATCCCAAGTGACATCAGCCCTACCTTGTTATGGTCTGATGTGCATAATTTGCTCATTCTAATGAGGTAGAGAAACTTCCTGTTAATAATTATCTACAATTTCCACATTTGTTCTAAGTGCAATGGTTGTATGCATGATATCTTTTTAAAAAGCTCATTACAAACATCAAACTCAATACTGACATTACAATAATCCAATCATCTTCTTGACCCCATTTGAGCTAATCAACCTCCACTCTGTGTGATTTAAATCTCAGAATGCTCTCCTCATTTATGCAAACCACTTTCTCCCCATCGTCACCTTGCCTGAGGTCCATTCAAGCTTCAATCTTCATCTTCACCACCTCAACTGTCTAGACCCTGGGGGATTCTTTCCTAAATCGTATTGCCACTGAGATTCCATTCTGCCATGATGAGTCATTGGACTCTAAAACGCCAAATTAATTAATATCTCTATCTCAGTAAATCATTTTCAGTTCTTCCAAGTGATCTCTTCTTATTTACATTCAAGCAACACACACACAAAAAACAGAGGACCAAGAATGTTTTTGATTTAAAGGTTTTATTTTATGTTTTCTTAAACATCAGTACACCAACAACCAAGAAAGCACACTGTGGCTAATCATTGTAGTATATTTTTCCTCACTATATTTTAATAACGTCAAACTTATGTAGATTTCTTTGGTTTACTGCAATTTTCAATCACAAGAAATCTACATCTACTATCATATGATTAAAGACTTATATTAGTCAAATGGAGTTTTAAACTTAGATATAGATAGATATTTTACATACTTCTCATTTCACTTTTTGCTTGCTTTATTTAGTTTTATTTTCTATATTGTGGAGAAAAAAAACAAACAAACAAAAATATTGTTGCAAATGATTATTTTAAAAACAAAAACCACAATGAAAAGTTCCTCCACCAAAAAAACAAATCGCTATATTAGGAAAATCTATAATAAATGAAAAATGAATCAATACAGTAAAATAATAAACAATATCTAAAATGAATCTGGAAGTGTCATTGGTGCTGTCCATGTAACGAGTCCAGATGTGGATGATCAAGATCACATCAAGGCATCAAAAGCATCAGTGCTAGCAGGACGGTGAGGACAGGAGAGGCCATCATACCAGGAGAGAAAGTGCTACTGCAGAAAGACAGGAATTAATTAAATAAGTCATGTACAGATAAGCTCCTGATAAGTACAGAAATTCTGAATTGATATCACTGCTTTTGTGTTTGTGCAAAATCTATGTGGGCTTCAAACTGCAACAAATGATGACTATTCTTAAACACAGCTTTTTGTGTTGAGCGCTATCATTGGTATAACATCTAAATTTTTCATGTCCACACACATTGTTATAAACAGAACATGTTTGAGAACATTTTTGTGTCTGGAATTGGAATTGTGGTGGGTGAGATCTTGTAAACATCAAAGCATTTCTTAACAGGTATGTTAAAACTTTTTAGCGTTAGTTTTAGTGTTTCTGTTTGAAAGAAACACTTTCTATTTATTAAAAATCAGGAAATGTTTGAGAACATTGCAGTACCTGCCATCTGTTGTGTATGAGGTAGGAATTGAGGTGGTTGAGATCCTGTAAAAGTTAAAGCATTTTTGGAGTGAATTAAAACTTGTTAGAGTTTCACCTGCATTAACTTTTACATCTAGCAACGACACTTATTCTTGCAAGGTGCTCAAAAATGCATGAGAAAATCGCAGTATCTCTCATCATATGTCATATATATTGTTTCAAATGACATGTTGTATCTTCACATGAATTGTAATTTAATAATATGTCCTACTGTGATGAGCAGTTTCCTTTATCCTGGTCTCCAGGAGGATGTGTAATTTTTACTGTTCTTACTTGAGGACATGGCAGTGAACTTCCATTAACTAGAGGTGTGAGATCTATTGGAATAAAGAAATTAAAATAATCATAGAAAACTTCATTTTGATGTTGTGTGAAATGATTCAAATGTTTCATACATTTCTGTTGTAAAAGTTTCAAGTAATTGTACTTGAAACTTAAAATATAAGTTTAGGAATTAAATTATTTTAATTTGCCTTGTACACTGAAGATAAAAATGGCACTCCCTCCTTTGAGGTAATCTCTGGATTGGATGTCTTCCAAAGATGCAAAATATCTACCATACAGGTTATTAACATAGATGGTCTCATTGTTCTCATCAACAATTTGAGTTCCAACATCACGAGGTTTGCCCCAAGCAGGTACACCTGTTTATAGAAAGCATATGTAACATAGTGTTTAATAATTTAGTTAGTAGAATTTTTTTAAGCATTACTTCATGTTTCTGCAAACGTACCAGTGGAGGTGAGCAGATTTGGGTCAGTGGTGAGACTCGTTTGCCTTGACATTTGTAGCTGGATGTTGGGGTTCTGATCCACCATTTGGACAGTAAATTGCCTTTGTGGGCAAGGCCATTGCAGCTGGTCATCATAGACACCAGAGACAAGTTGCACATATACTCCAAAATCTGTCTGGCGGAGATATAACGCTACCCGGTAAGCATAGCCCTCACTGGAATACTGGCGTGGGCTATATATCAGGGCCGGAGTATGAGTACTGTTCCAAAATCTCTCAAAATTATTAATCTGCCAGGTTCCATCTGGACACTCAAGCTCTGACAGATTGATGTCATCAATAGAGAAGCCACCTGTAGAGTTTCCTGCTCCTTTACGAACCTCAAACTCCACCTGGAACTGCTTGGTGGCATTTAGAGGAACATGGTGGAGAGTCCAGCGAGATGTTGGTGGACCTGGAAGGAGAATTTTTGGAGTAATAGGTGGATGTGAGGTATGTCTTCATGACAAAATGTGAAACATTTATACTTTCTCTGGAGAAAATCATCATAAATAATCACGCAAATGATTCATTACCACTGATCTGTCCCATGAGGTAGCGACTTCCTGTGGAGTCCCATTTATCTTGAAACTCTCTTATCCAGATGTTAAGTTCATCTGTCTGGCTCCCATTGTTGTAATAGTAGAACTGCAGACACTGGACACGACACTTCCTCTGGGGACTCATCCTCTTTGTCTCCAGCCAGGCTGAGTCTCCCTTCTGACCTGATTCTGTGCTAGCATACATGAAGTAACCTGCATCCTGACCTACAACACAGTTCAAAATTATCTTACATCAGATCTTTAAGTCTTAAGTATCAAAAGTATTTATTATTATCTCTGGCAGCTTACTTTTGATGTTAGTAATGCTGAGGTGGAAAACTAGATTTTTCCATTTAAAATGGTAAATGGCCTGTATTTGTATAGCGGTTTTACTAGTCCCCTCTAGGGACCCCAAAGCACTTTACACACCCAGTCATCCACCCCTTCACACACACATTTACACACTGGTGGAGGCAGCTACAGTTGTAGCCACAGCTGCCCTGGGGCAGACTGACAGAAGCGAGGCTGCCATATCGCGCCTTTCTGGCCAACACCAGTAGGTGGTAGGTGAAGTGTTTTGCCCAAGGACACAACGACTGAGACTCTCCGAGCCGGGGCTTGAACTGGCAACCTTCTGATTACAAGGCGAACTCCCAACTCTCGAGCCACGATCGTAATAAAAACTGCAATAAAAAAAAGGAATATTTGAAACCTTACCTTGACCACCATTTCCACTGGGTAGATTGGTGTGGTCTGAGCTGGGACCACCATAAACACCAGTTACCATTTCCCAGCCATTGCCACTCTTTGAACAGCGGTTCATTTGACACATGGTCCCATTAGTAAAGCCACAGTACATCTTAAAGGCAATGGATGAGCCTGTAGAGATGAATTAAAAGTGCAAGGGTTTTTTTTTCCAAGGAAGATTGGAGGGAAAAGGCAAAATTGTCAACTCACAAAACTGTAGTCATCTCAAGTGAGTGAATTGTTTCGGTGTGAGCAATTTTCTACACACATTCAGCACTTTTAGGCTTAGTTAATTGTTTACAATGAGCAACAGAAAGTTGATCTTTGGAGTACCCATGATATTGCTGAAATTGCAGCCTGACACATAGCAATCCCGGCATGTTGATTTTTGTATGAATTAAACAAATAGAGTGGGATTATTTGCTGATTATAAATTGACCATAGGTGCGAATATGAGCATGGTTGTCTGTTTAAATTATTTTCAAATCATAATTGTGACTTTTCTTAAAACAAATAGACTTGATCATTGTGCCAGTTCAAAAAATGATCATAACAGATATTTTGGAATTCAATAATATATAAATTTATCATTTATCATGAATACAAGTAAAAAACCCCAGTAAAGAGCCCTACTAAGTTTAAATGCACATAGTAACTCTAAAAACAATGTAAAAACTATTTACAAATGTTAAGTGTAACAAAGAAAACGGTTACTTTCTATTGGTTAAGAGCAAAATATTCTCATGGTGTTCTTAGTAACTTTAACCAATAATCCTGGAGTATTCCTAAAACTGGATGCTGGTCCCCATAACCTTTGAGCACTTACTGCATTTGTAGAGTAGATTCAGCTCCTGAACATCACTAGTACTCATTTCCACTCGTTGACCAATAAGATTCTGGAATTTGGGGTCTTTGGTGATAATTGTAGATCCATTGCCATTGGTGAAATCATTGTTGCCATAGTGCATCACGGACAAATAGTCATATGGGACTCCGTGGATGGTGCTCTCATCACTGCCGACTATTCTAAAATTATGCTTGTAAACTATAAAAATTATATATAAAAGCCAAACATCAGATACAGAAAACAGATACTGAAAAGATTTTGATAATATGAGAGAAGGTCAAATCATAAAAGGAAATATTTTGTATACTCACTATAGTGATTTTATTGATTTTATGACTCTATCTCAAATTATTAAATAGTTATGATTTTATTTTAACAATTTCAGAGTGGTTATTATATTTTTGCAGACTGCTTTATACAGCTTTAAGATAAGTATTTGAATAGAAATAGCGAACAAAGACATTAACATTGTTATAATTAGTATATGTGTTAACCAAACCTTCTAGGATGTTTTCAAAGTTAATCGTCACATAATCATCTCTGTCATATCTGGACTGTTCATGGTAGAAGCCAAGAGCATGAAGGAACTCATGTTCAACAATGCCAATGTAACCACAGCCTATTCCAATGGAGAGTT